GGGATGGGGGGCGGTGGGTGAGGAGATGGAGGTGGGTCATGGCTGAGGAAGTGGGGCTGTGGTGGAGGCGATGGTGGCAGGTGGGTCCATGGCTGTGGTGTTTCCTTGTGGGGATGTGGCTCTGGAAAGGGGGGATGTCTCAGCGAGGACCCAGCTTTTTGGGGTGCGTGGCTGAGGGGGACATGGCCCATCTTGGGGGAACCAAGGAGGGGACAGCCCCCAAAAAGCCCCTACCTGGGCACACCTGAGGGCCCTCTGTCCCCGTCCCTGCTGTGGCATCACCAGGGCCTGGCAGGGACCCAGGGGCCCCAATCCTGGTGTTCCTCTTTCTTCCTGGGAATGATGAGCCTCCACCTGAGCTCAGAGCAGGGGTGAGTCAGGAATTTGTGCCCAGCACCACGTTCCTCTGGAATTTGCACCATCATCCCTCTGGGAGTCATCGTGATCCTGAGTCACCATCCTGCCGAGTCACCACATTAGTCACAGCCTGAGTTCTTCCCTGAGAACTCTTGGAAAAGTGAGGCAGAGCAGCAGCAAAGGGGCTGGTTCCTGTGGAAAGGGCAGGAATGTGGGAATAATTGGAATGAGATGATCTTTAATGTCCCTTTCAAACCATTCCAAGATTCCTGAAAGCTTCCTCTGTGATTCAGTGATGTTTTCCTGCCCACTCACCTCAAATTTAAGAGGCTACATTCCTTTCTTCTGCAATATGAAAGCATTGAAATAGATATGGAAGTATAAAACTTAAAGATACTGGAGTTCCACCTAAACACGTGAAAAAAAAATTACTATATTTTGCGAGGAATTTTAGTTTACATATTAGAAACGAAAATTTTATTTGAAGAACACGCCGATGTTGCTCCAAAAATGTAGCAGAGTTCGTATTTTTGGAGGCATTTTTACATCAAAACGTTTACTTTTGGGGGTTATCAAATGTGCTTCTTGAGTCTGAAGTTGCGTTATAAGAGACCTTTAAGTTCGTCAAGTCCGAATTGCTGGGGAGATGGCTGGAGATCCAATTCGCGGCTCTCTTGCCCGGCTGATCCCTTTAATTCCCATTTTCCATGGATTCAGACTGTCCGCAGGTGTCGCCGTTGCACCACATTCCTGGCCGTCCTCGTCCATCCCGAACTAACTGCTGGGAATGAACTCGGTCAGGTTTTTAAGGCAAAATGGAGCGTCTTTCCAGCTGTAATTCCCTAATTACATCGAAACTTCTAATTTCACTTAATGAATCGCGCCGAGAATGGCACTAATTTGTTTAATTGCCTAAAAAAAAAAAAGAAGGACGAAGCCATTTGTGCAGAAAAGCACCGAACACTGATGTTGTCTGGCTGAAGGAGGGAATTGTAATGGATCCTGTGTAATTCCAGATGGTGAGTTTTGTCCTTTATTGACTCCATGGATCCCACGTGGTGCAACAAGCGCAGCAGCTGCACGTGGAAATGAATGGATGGCTCTTCCATATCCATTGGTTCTGTCACCTTCAATCACATTTTCATGGACTTTTGCTCTGGTTTTTGCCTGGTCATGGTGGGATAACGCATCCAGGACCTGCTGTTCCTCCTGGGAATGAAAGACTGGGAAGGATTGTCCACTGGGTCTGAGCTTCCCAGGTTCAAGCAGTAGAATTTCCAGTCCAGAAGCATCTCCAGAACTTCTGCTCCGGGTGACACCACAGCCAAAGCCATAGGACAATTCCCAGCGGGAAAATCCCACAGCAAATTCTAAAATCCCCAATAATAATAAGACCTGGGAAGAGGAAAATCTCGGGGCACTGACAGTTATCCAGAAGCAAACCGTTCATTAAGGAAAAGCAGGAAGCACTTGAGAGGAGGACGGAAAAACACTGTTAAAAAATCAGTTATTTCCAAACCTGTTTTGTCAGACTCCGGATCTGGGAATCTGTTTATCCCTGAGCAGGCTGTGCCCCCACATCCCAGCTGTTCTGCCATCACCAGGAACAGCCACCTGCAGATTTGGTGTCCGTATCCCTATGGATCTGTGGCGTCCATGGGAAGTCGGTGCTTCCCCCTCCTCACCTCCCTGTCCCACATCCCGGGGCCAGCTCAGCTTTCCCAGTTGTCATAATATTTAATCTCCAGCCTTTTACTTCAGCAACAGATGTTTTAAAGGACAATTTGTATTCCCCAAAGTGCTTTGGGAATCCTGGGGGAGCTCCCAGGAAGCTTTTTCCCGGCGCGCAGAAGCCGCTTGCTCCGGCTTCCAGCTTTGTTTTGGGGCTGGCTGGATCCTCTGGATTTCTCCAGCTGCCCCCTCGTTTACTTTGTGGTTTATTGAAATATCTGTTTCCTCTTTCTGGTCTCTCTCCTCAGTGCTCCGTGTGGGAGTCACGCCGACAGAAAACCGATGGAACGGAGAAACGCTGGGAGTAATTCCATGTAAAGCATTCCAAGATGTGAGCGAGGAGCTCTTGGGATGTGCTGGAACTCTTGGAACTCTAGGTGAGGCTCGGGACACAGGCCTGGGTGAGAAAACCACTCTTTAAAGTGTTAAAAGTTCTGTGTTTATACAGCTCTGCTCAGCAGCTGGACACGCTTTGTATCCGTCACGATATTCCTGCCTGGAAAACGACGCTGCCTGAGCCGAGTATGGAAACACTGGGGTGTTTTTAATACCTAATTTCACTGTACACACGGTCTGATGCCACTTACATGGAACATCCCCTGGCTGGTTAAAGGCTTTGATTCATTATTGTTCATTATTTGGCTTTTGTTGCTCAGCTCAGGCGCCCGAGTTCCCTCATAAAAACATCTCCGACACTTTTCCAAGCGTGGCCGTTGCAGCACCTTTGGAATACATTTGTTTTAACTGGAATGCATTTCTTTTTCTAGTCACACTTTATTTTCTTGTTACACTGTGGGACTCCTCTTCCTCACACCAGGAGGAGATGAATCCCACATTTTCCCCACTTCCATGCACAGCTCCCGCCCGGTGTCTGCATCCAGCAGCCCCTGAATGCAGGGAGACGATTCCAATGGCAAAAAACCTGGCCCATGGATGTTGCCCTGGGGTTTTGTTGTGTCCTTCCAAAAACTGGCCTCAGCCAGGGCAAGGTTGTGCCAACAGGATGGGGAGCTCCTTCTGGAGCAGCCAGAAGATCCAATATTTCCATGCTTGGCCCTGGTTTTTTTCTATGGGAATGCTGCAGCTCCTTGAGCCATGGCTCTTGAGTCCCTCTTTCCAGTAGGGAACCCTACAAAGAGTTATGGAATCATGGAGTGGTTTGGGTTGGAAGGGACATAAGGGATCATCCAGTCCCACTCCCTGCCATGGGCAGGGACACCTTCCACCAGCCCAGGTTGCTCCAACCTGGCCTTGGACACTTCCAGGGATCCAGAGGCAGCCACAGCTTCTCTGGGCAACCTGTGCCAGGGCCTCCCCACCCTCCCAGCCAGGAATTCCTTCCCAATATCCCATCCATCCCTGCCCTCTGGCACTTTAATCTCTGGTGCTGCCTGAGCTCTCCACCCCCAAATCTCGGGAGATGCTTTTCCAAGCTGCTGGCACGAGGGGTAAGTGCTCCCATCACCGGTCCCTTTGCCCCAGAGGAGGGGTTTTGTTCAGCGCTGGGCCACGAGGGGCAGTCGGTGCCCATCCCACATGGCAGCGGATCCCGAACTGTTGTTTTGCCACCGACTGTCCCCCCTTGGCACCGCCTGGCCCCGTGCCCTGTCTGGGTGCCCGCCCGCCGGCCCGGAATGTGGCTGCCGGGCAATCCCGATTGTTGCACAGCACAGGCCAAATTCGGGATCAGATGTTTCCTCTCCTGAGCCCCGGAGTTCAATGTCCTTTCAGCGGGAGAGTTTATCCCTGAATGGAAAGTGCCGGGACGGTGCTTTGCATCTCGTTATCGCGCCCAGACAGCGTGTAAGCGATTCTCTCTGGGACAGATTTGGATCTGTCTGTGCCTCTGGGGCACCGCTGCCTTTATCCACCTCCAAATATATCCCCAAATCCCTCCTTTTCCCTGGAGAGCGGCTCCCGCTTTTCAGAGCTGTGACGGGACCCCGCGTTCTTTCGGGATACTCATCCCAGCCGAGCATCCAGACATGCAGAGCCTTGAAGCACATAATTAACGCACGGTCTAGAATATGCAAATGTGCTTTTTTAATTAGCCCCGGAGACGCCCAACCACGTGCAGGGTGAGCAGGGAGGGGAGAGGACGGGGCAGCACAGCCCAGACACTCGTGGGGGCAGAGAATGAAGCTCAGCATCAGCTGATTCCCAGTTACAGGGTGTCCAGTCTGTGCTGCCAGGCTGCTCCCAGGAAAACAGACCAAATCCGGGCTAAATCAAACCAAAACCGTGCCAGGAAGAGACCAGGGAGGTCATGAGAGGTGTCAGAATTAACCCCCCCACAGGAGAGGAGCAAACAGGTTAAAGTGTCAGGAATGCATGGAGTGGGGAGTGAAAGGAATCCATGGATTGAATCCCTGCCTAAATGGTGTCAAAAAGCAGATTTTTTCCGCCAATTAAAATTTAATTTCCTGATAATTAAAGGGGGAGATGCTCAAATAAGGAATTGTGTGGCCCTCACCCCAATCCCAGCACCTCTGGTGTCTAAAAATGGAGGCATATGAAGATCCACAGCTGCACTGCAAGGCTTAGGGCTGGATCCAGAGGAACCTCTGGAGAGGAAGGCTCAAAGGGAAGAGCTGTTCCTGGGATACATCTCCATGCCTTTTCCAATCCCATGGCATTGGCAAGGACCAGGGGAGTCCTGACCTCATCCCCAGCAGGATGCCAGGGGAGCCTCTGTCCTGCTCCCCATCCCCTCTGGCATCTTGTGTTTTGGGGTGTGTTCTGGAGAGTTCTGGAGTCCACTTCCAAAGGGGTTAATGGAGCTTTTGGAAAGGATGAGGAGAAGAAATATCCTTGGCTCCCAGGAGTGTGTCCCCCTCGCAGCAGGATCCTGTTGTACTTGGAATGTAAGGACAGAGGACTGTTGTGGTATCCAGATGGGATGCCAGGCTGTCCCTGCCCCAGGATCAGCAATGCCAGG